GATGCCTGTTTCCTTCCTCACATTAGGGAATTTCTCTGCTATTATTTGCTCCAATATACCTTCTGCCCCTCTCTCTCTTTCTTCTTCTTCTGGGATCCCAATTATTCTAATGTTGTTTCATCTTATCGTATCACTTATCTCTCGAATTCTGCCCTTGTGATGCTGTAGTTGTTTATCTCTCTTTTTCTCAGTCTCTTTATTTTCCATCATTTGGTCTTCTATATCGCTGATTCTCTCTTCTGCCTCATTTATCCTAGCAGTTAGTACCCCCATTTTTGATTGCACCTGATTAATAGCCTTTTTGATTTTTACTTGGTTAGATTTTAGTTCTTTTATTTCTCCAGAAATGGTTTCTCTGATAACTTCCATGCTTTTTTCAAGCCCAGCTAGTATCTTTTAAAGTCATGATTCTGAACTGTAGGTCCGACATCGTACTAATGTCCGTATTGAGTAGGTCCCTGGGTGATGGTACTCTCTCTTGTTCTTTTTGCTGAGGTGATTTTTTTCGTCTTGTCATTTTGTCCAGAGGAGAATAGATGAATGAGAGAACAAAATGCTAACAGGTCAACAATGTCTCCAGCAATTATACTCTACACAAATCAGAAAAGACCTGAAACCAGGCGAAAAGAAAGGGAAAGAATGAATAAAGAAAGAGAAAAGAAAGAAAAAAAAACAAAAAGAAAAGATAAAAACAAAAACAGAACAATACATAAAAAACCAGAATATGATCAAATATGATCAGGCTAGTGCATAGATCAGTGCCAAACACTAGATTTTGGGCATATTTTGGTGTGTTAGAAAAAAGTGCCTCCCAAAATTTTAAAGGAAGAAAGACTTATATATGTACAAAATAAGGGTTGATACAATGAAGGGATGGAAGATGATTGTAAAGATGAAAATTATAAAAGATTTTATAAAAGGAATTGATAAGATAAAAGTTGTTTGAAAAAAGAAAGAAGATTTAAAAATAAAGAAAAAGAAAAAAAAGGGAGAGAATGTGATTAGGCAGGAGACTAGAACAAAGCTATACACTAGTGATTTAGGGTATATTTTGATTCGTTAGAAGAAACTGTATCTCAAAATTTTAAAGAGAGAACATTATATATATATATATATATGCCAAAAATAAGGGTAACTACTATGAAGGGATAAAATATGACTCTAAAAATGAAAAATAAAAAATGTGTTTTTTAAAAAAGGGATTGATAAGAGTTTGGTTGAAAAAGGGAAAAAGAAAAATTAAAAAAACAGTTAAAAAGTTAACTTTGAAAAACTAATGAATCATGGTAAAAAAAAGCCATGAATTCTATATGCAGTATTCCCCTAGCACTGGAGTTCTCCCATTCTCCTTGATCGGTAAACCTGGTCTTGGCTTGCTGGCTGTTCGTGCTGATCTTCTGGGGGAGGGGCCTGTTGCCGTGGTTCCCAAATGTCTGTGCTGGAGGCAGAATTGCCCCACCCTTGTGGGTCCGGGCTAAGTAAGCTGCTGGGTTTGCTCTCAGGGGCTTTTTTTCCCTGCAAGCTCTGGTACAGCTTTGGAGGACCAGGGTGAAAATGGTGCCTTCCCAGTCTCCACTCGGAGGAGCTGAGAACTTGGGGCCCTGCTCCTCAGTGCGCCCCCAGAGAAAAGCAGTCACTCCCGTCTCCCTGGTCTCCTGCCGCACTGCGTGCTCACCCGGCCTGTGACCGAGCATTTCTATCTCTGGCACTCGACCCCGTGTGGAGTCTCCAAACCCAGCAGATCCCTGTGGTGTGCTCCCGCTCCAGTCCTCCCAGGGGAGGGGGGGGAGTCTCCCTGGATCTGCTGCTTGTTGGGTCCCTGCTGGAGGAGCAGTGGCCCGACTGTGTCATCGATCACAGTTTATGGCAACCCCGAGCTGAGAGCCTGCGCCTCGTCTCCGTCTCTGCAGCTGGCTTCCTTGCTCTGATACCTGGGAGCTCTCCTGCACTCAGGTACCCCCGGTCTTTCTGTGACCCTGAGGGTCCTGAGACCACACTGTCCCGCGAGGGTTCCACCCCCAGCTTAGCCACTGGAATGACGTCTCTCAGCAGACCCTGGTTTCTAAAAGTTCCGATTTTGTGTTCCAGGGCTCTATCACTTGCCAGAAGCAGCCGACGGAGGCCCCCTCCCCCACCGTCTATCCTCCCAAATATTGCCTCAGATTCACTTCTCCGGACGTCCTACCTTCCAGTAAGTGGTCGCTTCTCTGTTCAGAGAGTTGTTGCTACTCTCTTCTTCGGTCTCCTGTTGAGTTCGTAGGTGTTCAGAATGGTTTGATCCCTATTCATCTGAATTCCTGAGACCAGACAAAATCCAGGTCTCCTACTCCTCCGCCATCTTGCTCCGCACCCCCCAAGCAAGATTTAATATCTAGGAGACAATTAAGACCACACAAAAAGAATGGGGAATACATCAAATTTGGAGGGAATAAAAAAGGTTTTTTTTAAAGTTCTAAACAATATTCTAAGACCTTAATAATGTCTAGAACAGGAATTTGTGTTAAACACCAAAAGTGTGGCAGTTTTCTAAATAATTTGCAATTGCATGTACATTCTACATACAACAAATGACTTCTATTATCTCAGGGTTTTCTGAAACTGATCAGTTTTTGAAAAGCAGGAATTTTTGTTAGTATTTAAAATATGGGACTAAAGTTTTTCCTAGATTTTCATGTACATTTATTTTACAATTTTATAAATAAATAAACTGAAATTAAATCTAATTTTATTATTTATAAAATTTGTAACTCCTGTGGAGTTCAAAATTTTCAACATAAAATATTTTTTCATTCAAGATTTTATTTAAAATCAAATTAGTTAACATATAGTGTAGTATTAGTTTCAAGGGTAGAATTTAGTGATTCATCACTTGCATATAACACCCAGTGCTCATTATAACAAATGCCCTCCTTAATGCCCAACACCCATTTACTCCATCCCCCACCCCCGCCCACCCAGCAATCTTCTGTTTGTTCCCAATATTTAAAGAGTCTTATGATTTGCCTCCCTCTCTGTTTTTATCTTATTTTTCCTTCCCTTCCCCTATGTTTATCTGTTTTGTTTATTAAATTCTACATATGAGTAAAATCATACAGTATTTGTCATTCTCTGACTGACTTACTTTGCTTAGCATAATACACTAATTCCATCCATGTCATTGCAAATGGCAAAATTTCATCTTTTGATGACTAAATAATATTCAATTGTATATATACCACATCTTCTTTATCCACTCACCATTCGATGGACATTTGGGCTCTTTCCTCGTTTTAGCTATTGTGCATAGTGCTGCTATAAACATTGGGGTTCATATGCCCTTCAAATCACTATGTTTGTATCCTTTGGATAAATACCTAGCAACGCAATTCCTGGGTCATAGGGTAGTTTTATTTTAACTTTTTTTTTTTGCTTGCATTGAGTTTTAATTGAAAATATTAAAACAATTTAACCACTCCTAATGAATTACAAATCTTTGACAGTTAAATTGTACTATCATTTATGAGGCATTTATTCATCATTAGGTTTGTAAACCTGAAAGAAACTTTGCATACTTGTGTTTTCTGTTCTCATCTCAGAGGAAGATTATGAAGAGAAAGTCTAAAATATTTATAAATCAAGGGCATTTTTTCCCAGTTTGGGGACTGGATCGTCAGAAGATAGAAGCTGCATGTTGGAATGAATGGGATTTGGAGTTATCATAATGGAAGCAAAATACGTGAAGGAAAAATAGTTACCTTTTTATCAGCGTATTGCACCTGACTACTAGTTGCAAGTGGTTTTCATTACCTAAGAAAATTTGTGATGTAAATGAAAAATTACCTTTTAGACTCATTGTTTGTAAATATGCTTCGCCTAAGAGCTATTTGTCCCTTCTCCTGGAGAGTGTTTCAATTTCGAACCTGCAGCTGTAAACCACTAATTAGCCAGATGATTACGTGTACAGATGAAGAGCAAGTTGAAAAAAACAAAGCCATACTTTCAGAAAAGCAAGTGGAATGTGCATTTAATATACTTTGGCAGTTTCAAAAGCAGAAGACCAGCTTTTTAAAAATGTTGAATGTATCAGAGACCATCCCCAATTTCTTACTCTTCATAATTTAGCTACAAGTCAAATGGAATCATGAATGATGATACTCTGGTGAATGTCTTGTACATCACACAACAGTGTACTACTGAAGCCCATGACCTGGTTGCAGCGCTAGTTACAGAAGCATGGAGAAGACTGGAAAGAGAGAGACACAGCGAGAGAGGGAACTCAAGCAGGGAGAGTGGGAGAGGGAGAAGCAGGCTTCCCATGGAGCAGAGAGCCCGATGCGGGGCTCAATCCCAGGACACTGGGATCATCACCTGAGCTGAGGGCAGATGCTTAACGACTGAGCCACCCAGGCGCCCCTCTATAATTATTTTAAACATAAATGGACTGATGCCCACTTCTGGCTCTGTGGCCTCAGCATGGTTGCTTTAGGTGTCCCGAGGCTGCACAGCAGTGTGGTGGCTCAGGTGGGCAACCAGTGACAATTGCAGTGAGTACCAGTCTGGGGAGAAATGGGGGACAGAAGCTGGGCTGAATCCTCACCGAACTGTTTTTCTCCACCCAGGCAGGGCCTGGCTGCCAACTCCTCTGCTAAGGGTCTCTTACAGAGTTCCCAAACTGGTCTTACACAGATGGCTGTCCTGCACTCCAGTGAAAGGCTAGCTTCAAAGAAAAGCCCAAAGGGAGAAGTTTTGAAGATGAGTTATACTGCTGTCAGAGGAAATGGATACTAGATTACAGGCATGGCAGCTTAGGCAGCAGGAGAAGTTGCAGAAAGAAGAAAGGAAGCAGAAAAAAATGCCCTTAAACCTGAAGGGGCTCTACTGCAGAATGCACTACCAAGTCAATAAAAAGCAATTCCTGTCTCCCTTCAAAAAAAAAAAAAGCCAACTGAGTTAGAAGTGAAATATAAAGGGAACAAAATCTACACAACTGTGCTGAAAGAGCAGAGGTGGGTTTTAGCTCATGTTTTGACCTCATCTCACACAAAACAAAAGCAGATGCAATAGTAAAGCTAAATCATGAAAACCCTAATTAGTTATTTTTAGCATGCCTCTTAATTTTTCTTTCCCCTGGTTTCTTGTCTTCTGAGCCTGAGTCTTGAACAGGTAACCACTTGATGGGATGTCAACGATAAATAGGCCATGGAGGAAGTGTCAACAAACATGAAAAAGCAAATCCTGTCATAACTATATAGATAGTCCACCCCAACTGTTGAGCCACGTACCCATAGATAAATCGAACTATTGCAGGAAAAAGAATAATTCCCTGAAACATCTGTTCAAGCTTCTGGCCCTTGTAATCCATTTGTGTGGGCATCAAGCTCAGATGATCTAGCATGACTGGCTGAGAAGGCTGACAGTGGCACAAGGGCAGCCAGGACTCAGAGATTGGTGGTGTCTGTTTCTGGTACCAGGTGCAGCTCAGCGGCCTGCTGAGGCTGGGAATGTGATGGCCACAGCCCCGGAAGCAGATGTCTCCCTATTTTTAATTTTTTGAGGAACCTTCATACTGTTTTCTAGAATGACTTCACCAGCTTGCTTTCTCACCAACAGTGCAGTAGGGTTCCCCTTTTCTCCACATCTTCACTAACATCTGTTGTTTCCTGAGTTGTTAATTTTAGTCATTCTGATGGTGTGAGGTGGTATTTCATTGTGGTTTTGATTTGTATTTCCCTGACGATGAGTGATGTTGAGCATCTTTTTGTGTGTTTGTTAGACATTTGTATGCCTTCTTTTGGGAAATATTTGTTCATGTCTTCTGTCCATTTCTTGACTGGATTTTTTTTTTATTTTTGGAGAGTTAAGTTTGATAACTTCTTTATACATTTTGGATACTAGCCCTTTATCTGATATGTCATTTGCAAATATCTTCTTTCATTCCATTGGTTGTGTGTTAGTTTTCTTGTTTCCTTTACTGTGCAGAAGCTTTTTATCTTGATGAAGATAATAGCTCATTTTTGCTTTTCTTTCCCTTGCCTCTGGAGACCTGTCTAGTAAGAACTTGTGGTGGTCAAGGTCAAAGAGGTTTCTGCCTGTGATCTCTCCTAGGTTTTTGCTGGAATGTTGTCTCACATTTAGGTCTTTCATTCATGTGGAATTTACTTTTGTGCATGGTGTAAGAAAGTGGTCCAGTTTGATTCTTCTGCATGTGACTATCCAATTTTCCCAACACCATTTGAAGAGACTGTCTTTTTTCCATTGGATATTCTTCCCTGCTTTGTCAAGGATTAGTTGACCACATAGTCATGGGTATATTTCTGTGTTCTCTATTTTGTTTCATTGATCTGTGTGTCTGTTTTTGTGCCAGTACCATGCTAACCTTGATGATTACAGCTTTGTAATACAGCTTGAGGTCCAGAACTGTGATGCCTCCAGCTTTGGTTTTCCTTTTGAACATTACTTTGGCTATTCTGGGTCTTTACTGGTTCCATACAAATTTAATTCTTTGTTCCACCTCTGAAAAATGCTGGTGTTATTTTGGTAAGAATTGCATTGAATATGTAGATATTTTTGGGTAAGTATAGACATTTTATCAATATTTGTTCTTCCAATCCATGAGCATGGAATGTTTTTCCATCCTCTAAATCTTCCTCAATTTCTTTCATAAGTGTTCTATAGTTTTCAAAGTATGGATCCTTTACCTCTTTGGGTAGATTTATTCCTAGGTATCTTATGGTTTTGGGTACAATTGTAAATGCGATTGATTCCTTGATTTCTCTTTCTGCTGATTCATTTTTGGTGCATAGAAATGCAACAGATTTCTGTGCATTCATTTTATATCCTGTAACTTGGCTGAATTCTTCTATCAGTTCTATCAATTTTTTGATGGACTCTTTTGTTTTTTCTACATTGAGAATCATGTTGTCCATGAAGAGTAAAAATCTGACTTTTTCCTTGCCTATTTGGATGCAGTTTATTTCTTTTGTTGTCTGATTACTGAGGTTAGGACTTCCAGTACTATGTTGAACAACAGTGGTGAGAGTGGACATCATAGTCATATTCCTGACCTTAGAGGGAAAACTCTCAGTTTTTTCCCATTGAGGATATTAGCTGTGTGTCTTGTTTTTAATCCCCATAAATCATCTTATATTTTTTTCTATTTTTTTATTTTATTATGTTATGTTAGTCACCATACACTGCATTATTAATTTTTGATGTAGTGTTCCATGGTTCATTGTTTGTGTATAACACCCAGTGCTTCATGCAAAATTTGCCCTCCTTAATACCTATCACTGGGCTAACCCATCCCCCCCACTCCCCTCCCCCTAAAACCTTCAGTTTGTTACTCAGAGTCCATAGTCTTTCATAGTTCGTCTCCCCAGCCACCCAATTTCCCTCCCTTCATTTTTTCCCTTCCTTCTCCTAATGTCCTCCATGCGATTCCTTATGTTCCACAAATAAGTGAAACCATATGATAATTGACTTTCTCTGCTTGACTTATTTCACTTAACATAATCTCCTCCAGTCCCATCCATGTTGATGTAAAAGTTGGGTATTCATCCTTTCGGCTGGCTGAGTAATATTCCATTGTATATATGGACCACATCTTCTTTATCCATTCATCTGTTGAAGTGTATCTCAGCTCTTTCCACAGTTTGGCTATTGTGGAATTGCTGCTATGAACATTGGGGTGCATATGGTCCTTCTTTTCACTACATCTGTGTCTTTGGGGTAAATGGCCAGTAGTGCAATTCCTGGGTCATAAGGTAGCTCTATTTTTAATTTTTTGAGGCACCTCCACACTGTTTTCCAAAGTGGCTGTACCAAATTGCATTCCCACCAACAGTGTAAGAGGGTTCCCTTTCTCCACAAGCTCTCTAACATTTGTTGTTTCTTGCCTTGTCAATTTTTACCATTCTAACTGGTGGAAGGTGGTATCTCAATGTGGTTTTGATTTGAATTTCCCTGATGGCTAATGATGATGAACATGTTTTCATGTGTCTGTTAGCCATTTGTATGTCTTCTTTGGAGAAGTGTCTGTTCATGTCTTCTCATATTTTGACTTGATTATTTGTTTTTTTGGGTGTTGAGTTTGAGAAGTTCTTTATAGAACTTTGATAGCAGCCCTTTGTCTGAAATGTCATTTGCAAAAATCTTCTCCCATTCCGTGGGTTACCTCTTTGTTTTGTTGACTGTTTCCTTTGCTGTGCGGAAGCTTTTTATCTTGATGAAGTCCACAAAGTTCATTTTCATTTTTTGTTTCCTTGGCCTTTGGAAATGTGTCTTGAAAAAGTTGTTGTGGCTGATGTCAAAGATGTCACTGATTATGTTCTCCTCTAGGATTTTGATGGATTCCTGCCTCACAATGAGGTCTTCCATCCATCGTGAGTTTATCTTTGTGTATGGTGTTAGAGAGGGGTCGAGTTTCATTCTTCTGTATATAACTGTCCAATTTTCTGAGCAACATTTATTGAAGAGACTGTCTTTTTTCCATTGCATATTTTTTCCTACTTTGTTGAAGATTATTTGATCATAGAGTTGATGGCCCATATCTGGGCTTTCTATTTTTTTCTATTGGTCTATGTGTCTGTTTTTGTGCCAGTACCATGCAGTCTTGGTGATCATGGCTTTGCAATATAGCTTGAAATCAGGCAACATGATGCCCCCAGCTTTGTTTTTCTTTTTCAACATTTCCTTGGTGATTCGGGGTCTTTTCTGATTCCATACAAATTTTAGGATTGTTTGTTCCAGCACTTTGAAAAATGCCATTGGTAGTTTGATTGGGATGGTGCTGAAAGTGCACATTGCTCTGGGCAGCATAGACATTTTAACAACGTTTATTCTTCCAATCCGTGAGCATGGAATATTTTTCCATCTTTTTGTGTCTTCTTCAATTTCTTTCATGAGTGTTGTGTAGTTCTTAGAGTATAGATCCTTTACCTCTTTGGTTAGGTTTATTCCAAGTTATCTTATGGTTTTTGGTGCCAGTGTAAATGGAATCGATTCCCTAATTTCTCTTTGTACAGTTACATTGTTAGTGTAAAAGAAAGCAACTGATTTCTGTGCATTAATTTTGTATCTTGCCACATTACTGAATTGCTGTATGAGTTCTAGAATTTTGGGGGTGGAGTCTTTTGGGTTTTCCACATAAAGTATCATGTCATCTGTGAAGAGAGTTTTACTTCTTCTTTGCTAATTTAAATACATTTTATTTCTTTTTGTTGTCTGATTGCTGTTGCTAGGACTTCTACTACCATTTTGAACAATAGTGGCGAGAGAGGGCATCCTTATCATGTTACTGATCTTAAGGGAAAGGCTCTCAGCTTTTCCTCATTGAGAATAATATTCGATGTGGGTTTTTCATAGATGGATTTTATGAAATTGAGGAATATTCACTCCATCCCTATAATCTGAAGAGTTTTAATCAGGAAAGGATGTTGTATTTTGTCAAATGCTTTTTCTGCATCAATTGAGAGGACCATATCGTTCTTCTCCCTCTTCTTATTAACGTGATCTTTCATGTTGACTGATTTTCAAATATTGAACCACCCTTGCATCCCGGGGATAAATTCCACTTGGTTGTGGTGGATGATCCTTTTAATGTATTGTTGGATCCTATTAGCTAGGCTTTTTTTGAGAATTTTGCATCCATATTCATCAGGGATATCTGTCTGAAATTCTCCTTTTTGATGGGGTCTTTGCCTGCTTTGGGAATCAAGGTAATGTTGGCCTCATAGAATGAGTCTGGAAGCTTTCCTTCTGTTTCTATTTTTTGAAACAGCTTCAGGAAAATAGGTATTATTTCTTCTTTGAAATTTTAGTAGAATTCCCCAGGAAGTCCATCAGGCCCTGGACTCTTGTTTTTTTGGGACGTTTTTGATCACTGCTTCAATCTCACTCCTGGTTATTGGCCTATTCAGGTTGTCAATTTCTTCCTGTTTCAGTCTTGGTAGTTTATAGGTTTCCAGGAAGGCATCCATTTCTTCCACGTTGCTTAATTTATTGGCATGTAGTTGTTGATAATAATTTCTTTCTTTTTTTTAAGCTTTTATTTATTTATTTGACACAGAGATAGAGTGCACAGATAGTGAGAGTGGCAGGCAGAGGGAGAAGCAGGCTCTCCACTGAGCAGGGAGCCCGATTCAGGGCTCAATCCCAGGGCCTGGGATCATGACCTGAGCTGAAGGCAGATGCTTAACCGAATGAGCCACTCAGGCACCCCTGTAATTTCTAATAATTGTTTCTATTTCCTTGGTGTTAGTCGTGATCTCTTCCCTTTGGTTCATAATTTTATTAATTTGGGTCCTTTCTCTTTTCTTTTAGAGAAGTCTGGCCAGTGGTTTATCAGTCTTATTAATTCTTTCAGTGAATCAGCTTCTAGTTTTGTTGATCTGATCTACTGTGTTTCTGGTTTCTAATTTATTGATCTGTGCTCTAATCTTAATTATTTCTGTTCCAATGTGTGGCTTAGGCATCATTTTTTGTTTTTCTCCAATTCTTTAATGCGTAACGTAAGTTGGTGAATTCGGAATTTGTCTATGTTTTTTTTTTTTTTTTGAGTGATGCATGGATAGCTTTATTTTTCCCCCTTAGGAACACCTTTGCAGTATCCCATAGGATTTGGACCAATATGTTGTTCTCATTGGTTTCCCTGAATCGTTTAATTTCTTCTTTGATTTCTTGGTTGACCCAAACATTCTTAAGCAGAGTGGTCTTTAGCTTCCAAGTGTTTGAATTTCTTCCACTTTTTTTCTTGTGATTGAGTTCCAGTTTTAAAGCATTATGGTCTGAGAATATGCAGGGAACAATCTCAATCTTTTGGTATCAGTTAATACCTGATTGTGACCCAGTATGTGACTATTCTGGAGAAAGTTTCATGTGCTCTCGAGAATGAGTATTCTGTTGTTTTAGGGTGGAATGTTCTGTATATATCTATGAGGTCCATCTGGTCTAGTGTGTCATTCAAAGCTCTTGTTTCTTTGTTGATTTTCTGCTTAGATGTTCTATCTATTGCTGAGAGTGGAGTATTGAGGTCTCCTACAATTAACTTATTTTTATCAATATGACTTTTTATTTTCGTTAACAGTTGGCTTATGGAGTTGGCTGCTCCCAAGTTGGGGGCATAGATATTTACAGTTGTTAGATCCTCTTGTTGGATAGACCCTTTAAGAATGATATAGTGTCCTTCTCTGTCTCTAACTACAGTGTTTAGCTTAAAATCTAATTTGTATGATATGAGAATTGCTACCCCAGCTTTCTTTTGTGGTCTGTTGGCATGGGGAAGATGGATCTCCATCCCTTCACTTTCAGTCTGGATATATCTTTAGGTTCAAAATGAGTCTCTTGTAGATAGCATATGGATGGGTCCTGTATTTTTATCCAATCTGCAACCCTATGCCATTTTATGGGAGCATTTAGGCTGTTCACGTTGAGAGTGATTATTGAAATATAAATTTATTGTCATCATGTTGCCTTGTTTCTATAGATTGTCCCTGTAAATTTCTGTTGTATATCACTCTTGGGGTCTTTCTCTTTTTAAAGAACCCCCCTTAATATTTCTTGAAGGGCCAGCTTAGTTGTCACATATTCTTTCAGTTTCTGCTGGTCTTGGAAGCTCTGCATTGCTCCATCCATTCTAAATGACAGCCTTGCCATATAAAATATTCTTGGCTGCATGTTCTTCTCATTTAGTACCCTGAATATGTCTTTCCAGCCCTTTCTGGCTTACTAGGTCTCTGTGGATAGGTCCTACATTATGCTGATGTTCCTCCCTCTGTTTTTAAGTAATCTCTTCCCCCTAACTGCCCTTAAGATGGTTTCCTTGGTTCTAAGATTTACGAGTTTTACTATTACATGCTGGGGCATTGGCTTGTTTTTCTTGATCTTGGGAGGGGTCTTCTCTGCCTCTAGGACATGAATGTTTGTTTCATTCCCCAGATTAGGGACGTTCTCAGCTATGATTTGCTCAAATATATCTTCTGGTCCTCCCTCTCTCTCTCCACCCCCTCAGGGATCCCAATAATTATGACATTGGAATGTTTCATGGCTTCACTTATTTCTCTCATTCTGTTTTCATGGATTTTAATCTGTTTCTCCCAGGCCTCCTCATTTTCCTTCTTTCTTATCAGTTTGTCTTCTAGATCATTAATTCGTTATTCTCCCTCGTTTACCCTAGCTGTTGTGTATCTAGATTAGATTGGATCTCATTGATAGCATTTTAAAATTCTGCCAGATCACCTCTCATTTCTGCCCTCGAGACTGTAGTTTGCCTTAATCAATTTCTCCATCCTAGCTATTTTCTTCATAATTGTTACCCTGAAGTCTATTTCTGACATCTTGTTTATGTCTATATCCATTTGTAAATCTGTGCAGAAGTCACAGTCTGAGTCTTTCCTATTTGGGGGGTTCCTCCTCTTAGTGATTCTGTTGAGGGGTGGTTGAGGGTATGTACAGAGTCCAAATTATTGACCACAACCCAAGCAAGATGCACCTCTGTTATAGAGACCTTAGGGTTGTCGGCCTCTTGTTCTTCCAGCCTGTCTTCTGGGGAAGGGGCATGCCGCACCGTTACTCAGACAACCCTGGTTGGGCAGAGTTGCCTTGCCCCCTGTGGGTGGTTTGGGCTCAGTGAGAACAATTTTTGGGGGGCTTTTGTTCTCTGGTGGCTTTCCCTGTTGGTTTTCCACGTCTCTTCTGAGAGTCAGAGCAGAAGTGACCATTTCTAACCTTCCTCTTCAGAACAGAGAGATGGCATTTTTTCAGTGAGCTCTTTAGGCCATACTGTCTCCGTTTCTGTCTGTGCAGCGTTCTGGGTTGTGTGCCCCACAGCAGCACTCCCAGCTCTCACTTCCAGGTCCAGGCACCTATCTGCCCTTTGTGCTTCTAAAACCACCAGCCACCCCCAGTTCACACGCATGCCCCCACAGCTCCGGGTTTCAGTCTGGGGGGCTGCCCTAAATTCCCGTCCCCACTGCTACCATTTTGTGAGTCTATGCTGGGTCCCCATCATGTGAGGCTTCGAGCTCTGTTGGTGCAGGATCCCAGAGGCTCTCTCCCCCTTCTGTTTATCTTCTGTTATCTGCTCAGGGAATCACAGCTCCCCGCTTCACACCTCAAAACCAACCACTGGCAATATTCTCAATTTCCATGGAAGCATCAAACTTTCACTGTGAAGTTCCATGCTAGGGAAACTCAGAAAAACCTTCTCTAGCCTCGCTGGTACTGAGCTCGGCAGAGAAGGCATAGGGGCCATGGAGCTGTGACTGTATCCTCCAGTCATCTCGCCTAGCGCTATATTGCAGGCCGCTCCTCCCTCACTGGCTCAGACCCCTCCCACCCACCGGGGCCACCCAGTTTTCTTTTCCGACTGAATGGAAAGTGAATCTCAGTGAGAGGAGGGCTGTGCTGGGGCCTTTGAGTCGGGAGGAGGAGCCGCTGTGAGTCTTTTGTATATGGCCTTTATAATATTCAGGTATGTTCCATCTATCCCTACTTTGTGGAGGGTTTTTATCAAGAAAGGATGCTGTATTTTGTCAAATGCTTTTTCTGTTTTTATTGAGAAGATCATATGGTTCTTATCTTTTCTTTTATTAATGTGGTATATCAGCTTGATTGATTTGCAGATGTTGAACCACTCCTGAAGCCCAGGAATAAATGGTCATGGTGAATAATCCTTTTAATGCACTGTTGGATTTGATTTGCTTATGTTTTATTGAGAATTTTTACATACATGTTATTGGGGATGTTGGTTTATAATTCTCCTTTTTGGTGGGGTCTTTGGTTTTGTGATCAAAGTAATTTTGGCCTCATAAAATGAGTTTTGAAGTTTCCCTTCCAAATATTTTCAGAGGAATAGGTATTAATTTTTCTTTAAATGTTTGGTACAATTCCCCTGGGAATTGATTGGCCCTGACCTCTTGTTTGTTGAAGATTTTTTATTACTGATTCAATTTCTTGGCTGATTATGGGTCTGTTCAGATTTTCTATTTCTTCCTGTTTCAGTTTTGGTAGTCTATATGTATCTAGAAATTTATCCATTTCTTCCAGATTGCCTAATTTCTTGGCATATATTTGCTCATAATATTCTTTTATAATTGTTTGTATTTCTGTGATGTTCATTGTGATCTGTCCTCTTTCATTCATTATTTTTTTTTATTTGGGTCCTTTCATTTTTTTTTTGATAAGTCTGACTAGAGGTTTATAAATTTTGTTAATACTTTCAGAGAACCAGCTCCTAGTTTCACTGATCTGTTCTACTGTTTTTTTTTTATTTTTGTTCCAATATCATTGATTTCTACTCTAATCTTTATGATTTTCCCCTGCTGAATTTAGGCTTTTTTGTTGTTCTTTTTCCAGCTCGTTTAGGTGTAAGGTTAGCTTGTGTGTTTGACACTTTTTGTGCTTCTTTAGGAAAGCATGCATTGCTATATACTTCCTTCTTGGGGCTGCCTTTGTTATGTCTGAAAGGTTTTGGACTGTTATGTTTTCATTTTCATTGCTTCCATGTACTTTCTAAAAAAATATTCTTTAATTTCCTGGTTAACCCATGCATTCTTTAATAAGATGTTCTTTAACCTTCATGTATTTGTGGTTCTTCCAAATTTTTTCTTGTGGTTGCCTTCAAGTTTCATAGTATTGTGGTCTGAAATTTTGCATGGTTGATCTCAATCTTTTTGTAACAGTTGAAGCCTGATTTGTAACCCAGTATTTGATCCATTCTGGAGAATTTCCCATGTGCACTCAGAAAGAATGTGCCTTCTGGTGTTCCTGGGAGGCTCAGTTGGTTAAGCGTCTGCCTTAGGTTCAGGTCATGATCCCAGGATCCTGGGATTGAGTATGGCATCAGGCTCTTTGCTCAACTGGGAACCTGCTTCTTCTCTCTCTGCCTGTTGCTCCTCTGCTTGTGCTCTCTCGCATGCATTCTCTCTCTCTGTCAAATAAATAAATAAATAAATATATATATATATATATATTTAAAAAAGAATGTACATTCTGCTGCTTTAGGATGAATATATTTACTAAGTTCATCTGGTCCAGTGTGTCCTTCCAAGCCCTTGTTTCCTTATTGATTTTCTGTCCATTGTTTTTAGGAGGGTGTTAACATCCCCTACTATTATTGTATTATTGTCACTGAGTTTCTTTGTTTGTTATTGATTTATGTATTTGGCTGATCCCAAGTTAAGGGCATAAATATTTACGATTGTTAGATCTTCTTGTTAGATAGACTCCTTTGTTATGATATAGTGTCCTTCTTCATCTCTGATAACAGTCTTTGGTTTAAAATCTAATTTGCCTGGTATAAGGATGGATTCTCCAGCTTTTTTTAATGTCCATTAGCATGATAAATGGTTCTTCACCCCTTCACTTTCAATCTCGATGTGTCTTTGTGTCTAAAATGAGCAGCATATTGATGGGTCTTGCTCTTTTATCCATTCTGATACCTTATGCCTTTTAAAAAAGATTTATTTGATTATTTTAGAGAAAGAGAGAGATTGCTTGAGTGGGGGGAGGGGCAGAGTGAGAGGGAGAAAGAGAATCTCCAGCAGACTCCCTGCTGAGCACAGAGCCCAACACAGGGCTTCATCTCATAACACTGAAATCATGACCTGAGCCAAAACCAAGAGTTGGATGCTTAATGAACTGAGCCACCCAGGCAGCCCTCTGATACTGTATGCCTTTTTATTGGAGCATTTAGTCCACTTATATTCAGAGTGATTATTTATAGATATCAATTTAGTGCCATTGTATTACCTGTAAAGTCAATGTTCCTGTAGATTGCCTCTGTTCCTTTCTATTCTTTGTTGCTTTGGTCTCTCTTTTGCAATCAAAGCGTCCCTTTTAATATTTCTTGTAGAGGTGGTTTAGTGTTCATGAACTCCTTTGGTTTTTGTTTGTCTGGGAAACTTTTTATCTCTCCTCTTCTGAATTACAGCCTTGCTGGATAAAGTATTCTTGACTGCATATTTTTCCCATTTAGCATGATGAATATTTCCTGCCACTCTCTTCTGGCTTGTCACGTTTCAGTGGACTGGTTTCTTGCTAAACTTTTTTGTCTACCATTGTAGGTTAAGGAACATTCGTCCCTATTTGCTTTCAGAATTCTTTATCTTTGCATTTTGCAAGTTTCACTCTGATACATTATGGAGTTAGCCTGTTTTTGTTGATTTTGAGGGGAGTTCTCTGTGCCTCTTAGGAATTGAATGCCTGTTTCCTTCCCCAGATTAGGGAAGTTTTCAGTTATAATTTGTTCAAATAAACCTTCTGCCCCCTTTTACTTCTCTCATTCTTCTGGGACTCCTATGACACAGATATTAATTCACTTTATGGAATCATTGGGTTCCCTAAATCTACCTTCTTGATCTAGTAGTTTTCTTTCCCTCTTCTCTACAACTTCATTATTTTCCATAATTTTATCTTCTTTATCACCTTTTGTCTCCTCTGCTTTTTCAGTCCTCGTGTTTATATCCCATCAGTTTTTCTTCTCAGTTATAACTTTTGCTATTTCAGCCTGACTAGTTTTTAGGTTTTTTTGTCACTGAAGCCAGGGTTTCTCTGGTGTCTTCTATTTTTATTTTCAAGTCCAGCTAGTAGTCTTATGACTGCTAAATATTGTTCAGATATATTGCTTATATCCGTTTTCAGCAAGTCCCTGGCTGTGGTATCTTCCTGACCTTTCTTTTGGGGAGATTTCCTCCATCTTGTTATTTTGTCTAAATTTCTGTCTTCTGCGTGTTTTGAAAGTTTGTTATTGTTTCCTGCACCTGAGAGTAATGCTGTATTAAAAAGGGGTCATACACTGTCAAAGCCTGGCACTTCAGGAAATGTTTCTGGTGTATGCTGTGTGTATTCTGCTGTTGTGTTTTGGCTGCTCTTTCCCACTGTCTATCCTTTGTGGAGTTCTTCCTTCCTTGCAGTGAGGAGTGCTTGGACCTTTAGCTAGGTGTGCTTTGGTGTGTTTGTTAAAATAAACCTGGAACAAAAAGGGGGGGAGAGCCTGATCCAAAAGGGGGAGAGAGAGAGAAAAGGAAATGAAAAAACAAGGTAACAAACAGAAAACTATAAGCTTGATTCCAAAGGGGGGGAAGTAAAGCCTTGTGGTGCATGCAGGGTGCTGCCTGTGCTGGTCTTCTAGGGGAGAGGCCCACTGCATTGGCTCAGAGTGAGACCTGCACAAGTAAAAATGCATTTACCAGGCACAGCAGGGTGGGGTGAGTTTAGGTGTAAGCCATAAGTCATTCCTGCCTCCACTGGGGGCTGCTGTGTTGTTCTCTGAAGTCTGTCTGTGGTGGTGGCTTGGGGTAAAATGTCACTACCCCACTATCTCAACCCCAGACAGGGGATCTCACACTTCTTGCTGTTCAGGAAACTCACAGAATAGCAAGGGCCATCAGTGCACCCAGTTCCACAGTTGTCCTGCATTTTATCTTTGGTGTAGGGTTAAGATTCAAAACTCCAAATTTTAAAGGACCCAGAACCATGTGGACCTGCTCCCCTCCTCTGGAGTAGAGCCTGCCCTGCTGTGTCTGGTGTCCTTTCTCCAAGTAAAACAGTCCCACACTTGTCCAATGTGCAGAATCTGTGGTGTAGCACAGGGAAAAGAAGCAACCAGGTTATCCACCCTTTTTTGTGTACCTCTGTCCCCTGCTGATGAAAGGCCTTTTGCTGGTGCCTGCAGGGTCTTTTGTCCTTAGAAAGGCAATATACCCTCTTCCAAATGCACTTTACAAAGGGCAACATTCTCTTCCAGTGCGACCCAGGAACTCCCTACACCATGTTATATGCTCCTGGGCCTGTGCCCCCATTATCCCTAGGAGCTCACACCAGAGCGCCAGTCTGGCAAAAGTTGCACACTTCCAAAACTCCAGAGTTTGAGCTCCACACACTGTTTGCAAAAAATCTGTGACACTCAGTAACTCTCGCTCCCCAGTCCATGGTCTAGAATGGTTTTCTTCTTGTGCAAACCCAACACAGCACTGTCTCTACCCCTCTCTTTTGCTCTCCCTTTTCTCTTCCCAAAGAAAGGGCTCCCTCCTCTCTGCAGCATTACAGTTTTTCTCCCCCCCATTCACTTCCATGCACCTAACACCTGCCACACTGTCTCCCTCCAACCATTGAGATCCTTCTTCCAATCCTCCAGTTGATTTCTTAGGTGTTCCAAGTGATCTGACCTCAGTACAGCTGTGTTCAAGGGTTGAGGAAATCCCAGGGTCCCCCTACTTCTTTAACATCTTAATTCCTCCTAAAATCTTATTATTATAAACCAGTGATCATCTGTTGCTC